CCCCAAAACCCCAAAACCCCAAAACCCCAACATGCCCACTTCAGGTTGAGCTTAAACCCTTTAATCTTTATCTTCAAAAATACTTTCCAGTACCGTACTCTTTCCTCCTGTGCTCTTTTTCATGATCCTTCTATTAGGCACAAAAGTTAGACTGGGCTGCCACCAGTAAGGGAGTTTTGGGAAATACGAGGATGAAAGGAATTGACCAGAAGAGGTTTTAGCCTTAGTTTGGGAGGTGTGTATGATGGGGATATGAAAGTTTAGCAGGCGACGGAAATGAGTTTTGGATGATTAAGGTAGGGTATTTTGGAGGGATTTATTATAGTTTGAAAGTTGCTTCTTTGGAGCGAAGATTGAACTTTTGATAAAAAATAGTTCTTGTTTGGGGTGAAAGTTTAATTAGAAGTGAGTTATTTGAGTTTTTATCTAAAATGATTGGCTTAAAATTGTAACTTTTTTTAAAGAAGATCTCTAATAGTAAAGATTACTTTACAGGAATTTGATTTATTTTAGGCTATAAGTTTGTAGACTATTATTATTTCATATATTTCAAATAAAGCGATCAAGAATAATCCCTTTCAAAAAAATAAACAAAAAAATAATTAAAACTTACTCTTTATATTTTCTTCCTAAAAATTACCCATAAAAGCTTACCAGAAGAAATATTATTAGAAAAACTAAGCGAAGAAAACTGTGACTTTAACGAAGTTTCGGATGAATTTATAATAACTCTCGACTCTTGTTGATCCGAATCCGTCATACCCCTTCCCTCCTTTTCTTCCTCATTCATTCTAATCCTATCAATCTCGTCAAGAAGGCCTTGGTCGCACCTCCCTTGTCTAACCTCATCAGCTATAATTTTCACCAATTCTTTCTGAGTCTTCGGCTTTTTTTTGCTGCTATTTGAGAATGATTTCGACCCTTTTGAGGAAATAGCTCCGAAGTCTGTTCTTGAAGGTCCTGCGATGCTTTGTCTTGTGCTTTAAGTTTAGTGCAGTGGCTGTTTTGGAGGTAATTTTAGAGGAGAGAGGGTTTTGGGGAGTTTAAGAGATTTTTATTGGGAGAGAGGTTGGTGGTGATTTTATTAAGGTTTGGAAAGGGAGAGCTTACTTATCCTATCGAGAGTGCAGCCAATGAAGTTAAAATAATGAGTCATCATTTTCCTATAGTTATTAATCGGTCATACTTTGGATTACTCAAAGTTTTCTGTCTTTTCAAAAGCTCGTGCAAAAACTCATTCTCTTTCTCAATTTTCTCGTTCACTAAGTTAAAAATACTTTTCCAGCCACTCGGAGCATTCATTTTCACTGTCTCAATCCTTCTCCATGTTACTTCATAAAACCCCTCAATATGCATGGCCAACTTAGGCTATACCATCAACCCTCTCCACTCACAATCTCATTCTGAAAGGTCATATTCTCACCCTTAAAGGTTCTTTTCTCTTGCCTATAAATCTCTATCAAAATCCTATTGCTAGCTCTTACTCTTGTGTGTACAGATCTATTTCTCTTCATAGACTATATGTTTAGCCTTATTTTTACTCTTCGGAGAAGACTGTATCATCTAGTTGGCTGTAAAACTCAGTACTGCTCTTATTTAACCTTAGGTTTCTCATTTCCACCCTCACTCTCCTGGTAATCTTTTCTCAGTTCAATTGTTCCTTGTTCAGCTAAAGCTGGCCTCCCTTGAACTTACTGTAATCCTTTGAATATTTTCCTGAAAAGCAGGCTCCCATAATGAAATTCTTTTCTGATCTCAATAAAAATATTATATGCTGGGGTTTTGGGGTTTTGGGGTTTTGGGGTTTTGGGGTTTTGGGG